AGCTCCAATTTGCAATCCCTGTCCCCAGCACACACTGGCTCCAGGCATAGGAGAGAGCCCCAGGGGTTAGAGTCTCCAGACGGGTCAATTTCTGCTTTGCCTTCTTCCACAGGGGCCTGTAAGGGGCCGTATCGCCCGGCACAGACACAGCCAGGGACCCGTGACTGCTCCAGCCACGGCTAGTTCCTCATCCACAGGACTTTCTTGACCAGAAGCCAGAAAGTGACGAGACACTAAGTTGGCTCTGCAGGGCCACTGGCTTGGGCGAGTGACACATGGATCATCCCTAGCATAGCGGAGGTGCTGGGAGATTGTGGACAAGGCCAATACCCCTCCGATTACAAAGTGGGAGGTATCTCTGCTCAACTTCCCTCCTTTGCTTCTCCTGTCCCCCAGTCACCCTGTAAAGTATTGCTGGCATCCTCCTTGCCAACCTCTCCCAGGGCCTGTCTACATGAGGACAATATTTTGAGATACCTGACTTTGATTGAATAACTCCCGAAAGAACAGAGTTGAAATAGCATCCCCTCACTACACGGGAACTTTGAAAATAGTCCAAGGTAGGCTCCATTCATGTGGACATGCAACCTTGACATACAACTCCAGGAAGCACCGGGCAGTAATTACTATGAATGATGCCGGGGAGTCGTTGTTTCAAAACAGCAGCATGGAAGCATCCACACAACCATTATTTCCAAGTCAGCATGATTCCCCCAGAAGTACAGATCTCAAAATAGCCCGCTCCTTATTCTGAAATAACGGGTGTGGTAACGTGGACGCTCCTCCCGTTATTTTGAAATAAGGGGGGTGATTTTGAAATAAACACTCTAGTGTCATCCAGGGCCTGGTTTCCCACCTTTATCCGCACTCAGACAGCCCCTCAGTCATCCTCCACTTTGGAATTTGCAACACAATTTTCATGTGCACAAGGTACTTGTTGGGTCCATGTCATTGCCTTGGTTTTCTTGCTTGCTGTCCATGACTTCTTCTGCATCGCTCGAGCATGCGGGAGCATGTGGAGCTGATGGCAGCAGGGGGCAATTCGTGGCCTGGGAGCCAAAGTGGCCCTGTACGGTTCTCAGTGTGGCCCATGAGACATGTTGTTACCGTGGCCCACGTACAGAGCGACCGGATTGTTCTTTGCCTGCCACACGGGAAGCCAGGGCACGTGACATGTGGTGGGTGCTGGTTGCACACAACACAGACTGTGGGAGGCGGGCACTCCCTCTGTGTCCAATCCCAGCGCTGCTACGGTCCATCGGCCCCTCCCACACATTCTGGGTACGCAAGCGCAAAAGGCCGTATTACTCGCACCGGTCTTGCAGTCACTGAGACAAAGGAGGCTACTTGTGCGGCCGATTCACTAGCCTTGGTTGCCCGCCTCTGGCACGGTTTGAGCCTTGTACCTGCCATGACAGGAAATGAACTGTATCTTTACAACGTTGCCTGGCTACATCACCCTCCAAGGAGCTCCCTGCGGTGTTATCACTGGCTGCCTGTGGAACCCATGCAGGGATTTCTCCCATTTCTCCGTGTGGTCTGTCCTGCTCTCACTCGGCCATGCTGCCGACCACTACACTGACAATATGGTGTCTGCCAATCGGGAAGGGCTCCTGCAAAGTCTGCGTGCCAAGGGCAGTCTGTTTGTGGTTGCTGCACTGGATCATGTGCTACCTGCCAGCAGCAACTCCTGACCTAGAAAAGGCCCCGCCGCAGCCATCTGCTTCCTCTCCCCCAACTTAAGCCTCTCTGCTCTCCCCCTGAACTGCCTGGGAGAGAGTTTCCTTCCTTCCCTCCCCACCCCCAAGGCATTCTGGGAGTTGTAGTCTCTAGGGCTGGATGGCAGCACCAAGGACCCTCCCAGGCAAAGTCAGAGGTTCCTAAAGCAACGGGGCCTATGCACAGAGGATGTTCCACACAATCAGGCTATGTCTACACTCCCGTCTTCTTGCGTGAGTAATATGCAAATGAGGCTAAGCGTTGAATATCGCTGAGCCTCATTTACATAACTAATGAGCCGCCATTTTTGCAGAAGAGGTTCTTGCGCAAGACGGAGCTGTCTACACTGCCCCTTCTGGCGCAAGAAAAACCCTCTTGCGCAACGCCGTTACACCTATTACTTGAGAGGAAGAACAGCATTGCGCAAGAGGGTTTTTCTTGTGTTTTTCTTGCGCAAGAAGGGGCAGTATAGACAGCTCCGTCTTGCGCAAGAACCTCTTCTGCAAAAATGGCGGCTCATTAGTTATGTAAATGAGGCTCAGCGATATTCAACGCTTAGCCTCATTTGCATATTACTCACGCAAGAAGACGCGAGTGTAGACATAGCCTCAGTGTATTCAGCGGGAGATAAATGGAAGAGCAGAGGGTACCACACTATTCGCAGGGTCACTTGTGCCTGCCCACATCACACTACTTGTGAATTTCCCCCGACACACATTCTGGTGTAGCAAACATACTGTATTTTAGTGAATATACCCCACACCTGAATTTACCCCGCACCCGAATATACCCCACGGTTTTTGCTGTTTGCTTAAAATAAGGGATAAGGGATCTTTCGGAAAAGGCTTTATTTTCCGAAAGATCCGCGTCTAGACTGGCGCTTTGTTCCGTCAAAGCTCCGTGCCGAAAAAAAGCGGCAGCCATTGTTATGCTAATGAAGCGGGGGGGGGGGTTTAAATCCCTGCTTCATTAGCAATTGCGATACATCTAATTTGCATCCCTTTTCCGAAAAAGGTATGCACTCTAGATGTAGCCTGAGTGTGGATGTTGGGGGCCCAAAAGAGAGCTTTTAAGCCTTACCTCTATGGGTACTGGATACAAAACTTCCCCCCAGAATCATTCTGGGGAAGTTGCTGACACCAAGTGCTCTTTTATCCCTAAAACTGGGAGTGAACACTTGAAACCACCCCCAGGGGTACCCCAAAAGAGCTTGAAAAAAGAATAGAAAAACAAACTGCAGTCTCTGGTAGCTGGCTCCTCATAGAGCCCCTGTCTCCTTTACTCTCGCCATGCTCACAGCCCCTTCCTTCCGTACTTACCTCATTCACATCCCCACCCCAGCCAACGTGGATAGTCTGGGCAACACAGCTCGGTCTGCTGGGGACCCAGGCAGAGCAGGGGTGCTCATGGGGAACCCACACCCCTACTGTGGGTCCCTGTCCCATGCAGTGGCACTAAGACCACTTAGAGCAAGAGGTAAGAACAAGGGAGCTCAACAGCCTGAGCTGAGCGCCAGCTGGCTTTATCACGAAGGCTGTGTCTACACTGGGCCACTTATTCCGGAAAATCAGCTGCGAGCTGTCTACACTGGCCCTTGAATTTCCGGAAAAGCAACGACGCTGTACTGTACAAAATCAGCCGCTATTCCGGAAAAACTATTCTGCTCCCACTCGGGCATAAGTCCTTATTCCGGAACACTGTTCCGGAAAAGGGCTAGTGTAGACAGCCCAGTAGTCTTTCCCGGAAAAAAGCCCCGATCGCGAAAATGGCGATCAGGGCTCTTTTCCGGAAAAGCGCGTCTACATTGGCCATGGACACTTTTCCGGAAAAAAGGGCTTTTCCGGAAAAGCAGCCTGCCAATGTAGACGCTCCTTTTCCGGAAAAACTGAAAACGGAATAGTATTCCGTTTTAAGCATTTCCGGAAATTCATGCCAGTGTAGACACAGCCGAAGGTTGTAGATGTGCCAACACTAGCTCCCAAGTTCAAATCTGCCCAGCAGCAGTTACATATATAAATACAATCTGGTCCTGCAAGCATTCCTCCTCCCCAGCTAGCTCACAGAGGTGAGTTCACTTGGGCCTTGCTTGCCTCATTGTCAGTTATCACAACATCTTACAAACTTTCCCCTGTGTCTTCCAATGCAACTGGCAATTGGGGAACAGGCCTGGGCCCTGCAGTGACACCATGCCACTCTTTTACGACTCGTTGTGCTGGGAATTGGACTTCCATGTGGAAAACTACAAGGCCCAAACCCCGACTCCTCTTGCAGTTGGAGCATTGGGAGGAAAGAGCGGGAGGGTGGACTTGGGTGTAGAGAAGGAGAAAGTCCATGAGAAGCTGGCTCAGGACCCAAAGCAGGGTCCCTGGGGCTAGGCCCGGAGCTTCTGCCTCAGCTCTGGTCTATGGACCAGACAGGTTTTGGAGGGCCACCATAGAATCGTAGAACACTAGGACTGGAAGGGACCTCGAGAAGTCATCAAGTCCAGTCTCCTGCCCTCATGGCAAGACCCAGTATTGTCTAAACCAGTGGTCGTGGTGCTCGTGGGCCATTTCTGTGCGTCCGCTGAGTGATCAGGGCCAGCCCCGCCCCCAGGTGCCCAGCATATGGGTGGCCCCGCCCCCGGGTGCCCAGCAGCCCCAAAAGGTTAGGGACCACTAGTCTAGACCATCCCTGACAGATGTCTATCTAACCTGTTCTTAAATATCTCCAGAGATGGAGATTCCATAAACGCCCTAGGCAACTTCTTCCAGTGTTTAAATGCTTCTCCTTTCCAAACTAAACAAACCCAATTCTTTCAATCTTCCTTCGTAGCTCATGTTCTCTAGACCTTTCATCATTCTTGTTGCTCTTCTCTGGACCCTCTCCAATTTCTCCACATCCTTCTTGAAATGCGGTGCCCAGAACTGGACACAATCCTCCAACTGAGGCCTAACCAGCACAGAGTAGAGAGGAAGAATGACTCCTCGTGTCTTGCTCACCACACACCTGTTAATGCCGCCCAGAATCATGTTTGCTTTTTTTGCAACAAAAAAAGGAGACATTGACTCTGCTTCCTGGGGACCGAGGATGGCCTGGAAATGCCCACTGGGGGAGTCCCAGAGCATGATCGCCCCCACATTGAGGGCATGGGGGAAGCTCCATGCGTATTTCAGTTGTTCTGGGTCTGCTAGAGAGGGGGGCGAGCTGGCAAAGAAACGGTTAATACACTCGCGCCTAGACTTCCCGTTTCTGAGTTTCCTCTCAAAGCAGCAGAGAGCTCCATGCAGGGCGGGCGGCTATGCATTCTCCAGATCTCTGGGTCCCGATCTCAGCACCAGCCCATAGAGCTGCCATCCTGATACCTCCAGCGGAATGGCCCTTTGGGCCAAACCTGTCCCCCTCTCCTTCTGGCTCCTGAATTTCTGCTTTGTCACCTCGGCAGGTAAGCGGCCCCTGTTCTGCCAGATGCCTGAGCCCCATGCCCCATCCCAGCCCCTTTCTGCCAGGGCTGGGGGCTGGAGGGGCCCCTTCGTATGCCGTCCCAAGTCTGTGGGTGCCTTTTCCTTCCCAGTCTCTCTTCTTCCTGCAGAACTGTACCGTCTCTCCAATCTCCAGCTCGTCACCCCACAGGAGGCCCCGGGTCTCCCCAAGCGGCTGAATATGCTGAGGGTGAACAACCTGCTGCTCTCAGTCTATGACAGCGACACTGGCAGGCTAGTTCCTCGCAACGGCTACATCCAGGAGAGTCAGGACTTTTGGAGAAAGTGCAATGCTTGGTGCCTGGGCTGGGACCCCTGGGTGGAGATCACGTACCAGGCCCTGGTACGGGAGGTGAATGCCAGCGCTCCACAGGCCGGTGAGTCGCGCTCCCAGACTTGGCTCAGGACGGGGGTGGGAGGGCAGTTAAAAGGAGTTAAGTGAGAGCTGGGAGAAATGTTGTGAGGAGAACCTAGAACCTCGCTGTTAGGCTACGTCCTGCTTCTTGCACATCCACATCTCAAAGCACCGTGCAAAAGCGATGTGCATGGACGTTCTTGCACAAGAAAGCTCGGATGGCCCTTCACAGAATGGCCAGCAGAGCACCTGTGCTTTTTCCCATCAGGATTTCTTCCACAAAACATCCCTCAGGGCTACGTCTAGACTGGCATGATTTTCCGGAAATGCTTTTAACGGAAAAGTTTTCCATTAAAAGCATTTTCGGAACAGAGCGTCTAGATTGGCAGGACGCTTTTCCGCAAAAAAAGCATCCATGCCAATCTAGACACGCTTTTCCGCAAAAAAGCCCTGATCGCCATTTTCGCGATCGGGCCTTTTTTGCGGAAAACAAATCTGAGCTGTCTACACTGGCCCTTTTGCGCAAAAGTTTTGCGCAAAAGGACTTTTGCCTGAACGGAAGCAGCACAGTATTTCTGCAAGAACACTGACAATCTTCCATGAGATCGTCAGTGCTTTTGCGGAAATTCAAGCGGCCGGTGTAGACAGCTGGCAAGGTTTTCCAGAAAAGCAGCTGATTTTCCGGAAAAACTGGCCAGTCTAGACACAGCCATGCAGTGTTCACACAAGAACTCTTCCACAAAAGGGAGTTATGCCTCATAAAAGGAGGTTTACCTACCGTGGAAAAAGCCCTCTGTTCCACCGTCTTACTCTTGATTGCCCTGCACAAAAGCACATCTGAGGTGTGGACACGCCATGGGCTTTGGGGCAAAAACAGCCATTTTTGTGCAAAAACCTTGTGCAGTGTAGATGTAACCTCAGAGTGGGGGAAGGGGCTGAGATGCAGGAGTCCCTTGTGGTTGGTGTCACCTGAGCTCTGGGCCATCACTGGAGGGCTAGGCTCAGCAGGATGGGTGGCGGGTGTCCCAAAGGGTGGTCAGTGGGTATTTCAGCCAATCAAGTGATCCCTTTGCCATAGAACGCAGGGATCTATGACACAGGTGGAGCAGGGAAGGCTAGGAGCTAGGACTCAGTCCTATTCCCAACTCTGCAAGAGACATAGGGTCTGGTGCATGTGTTGCGGGGGGCGGGGGGGGGTGAGTGTAGGACTCCTCCGTTTTGTGCATGGGAGAACTTCCTCCTCCCCCACAATAGGGAGGTGGAAACTGAGTCATTCACCCAGCCCCTCTGCCCCCAGAGCCCTACTACATGCAGATCTTGAAGATCTGTGAGGTGGACGATGCTGCCAGCAACATCCGAGCTGTCACCAGATATGCCCTCAATGGGGAGGAGGTGCTACGGTACCAATCAGACCAGAACCGCTGGTTCTCGGTGCACCCGTCGGCCTGGCCCCTGGCAGAGCGCTGGAACCAGGCCAAGGAGACTTTTGCAGAAATCACCCCTCAGCGATGCATGTTCTTCATTGAGCAGAGTGCACAATTCATCACTGGGAAGACAGGTGAGAGCACTACTGGTGCCCCTCAGACCTGACCCCCAGCTCCTTCTCTCCCATTTCCTGTGATCAATGACCCTCTTCTTCTCCCCCCAGCCCAGCCCACAGCCCGTGTGGCCCTCATCCCAGGGACCCAGGCCCTGCCACGCCGCCTCATCTGCCACGTGACGGGCTTCTACCCTCACCATATTGAGGTGACCTGGGAGCGGGGGGGCCAGGTGGCCCAGGGGGAGCAGCTGAGCAGCGGGATCCGGCCCAATGCAGACCCCACCTTCCAGACCCAGGTGTCCATCGAGCTGGGGCAGGAGGGGACCAGCCCCGCAGAGCACGTGTGTGTGGTGAGACACAGCAGCCTGGGGAACACCACCCTGAGAGTGACCTGGGGTGAGTACTGGGGGGCCAGAGCAGGGGGTGAGGCTGGGAAGGGGGTGCTAGCTACTGAGGGAAAGGCTGTGGAGGAGACGGGCACATGGGGAGGGAGGAAAGGGAAGGTGGGAAAAGCAGAGGTGGCATTTGGGGGGTACCAGAGAATGAGTAGACAGAGAGAGGCCTACAAGGACATGTGGAGATGTTTTGGGGGGCTCAGAGTGGAGGAGAAGCAGAGAGGGGTACTCGGGGCTCATACAGCAGAAGGGAGAGACAGAGAAGGGAAGACACATGGGAGAGCATTGGCTATAAGAGCAGAAATAAATGGGGACAAGGGAGAACTGGAGCACAAAATCCAATCAGTGACTGTGTACAAATGCGAGGAGTGTGGGGACGAAGCAGGAACGTGAAGTGCTCATAAATGAACCCAACTGTGCCATAGCCGGTATCAGAGACCTGATGGGGTAACACACACAACTGGAATATTGGTACAGAAGGGTTCAGCTTGCTCAGGGAGGATAGGCAGCAAGAACAGGGAGGAGGTGTTGCCTTATATAATACAAATGTTTATACTTGGACGGAGGTGGAGATGGACATAGGAGACAGACACGTGGAGAGTCTCTGAGCTAGGTTAAAAGGTTGAAAAACCAAGAGTCATGTCATGCTAGGAGTCTACTACAGACCACCCACCCTGGCAGAAGAGGTGGATGAAGCTTTTTTGAAACAACAGAATCACTGAAGCGCAAGATTTGGTAGTGATTGGGGACTTCACCTATCCAGACATCAGTTGAGAAACTAACACAGAGTATCCAATAATTTCTTGGACTGCATTGGAGACCATTTTTTTTCAGAAGGACAAGAAAGCTAGTGGGGCGGAACTGTCCTGGATTTGATTTTAACAAAGAGGAAGTAATGGGTAGGGAATTTGAAAGTGGAAGGCAGCTTTGGTGAAGTAACTACAAAATCATACAAGTGACCATGAAATCATAGCGTTCAAGATTCTCCGTAAAGGTAGAAGAGAGAACAGAAAAATAGAGACAAGATAGACTTTAGTCAATTCAGCTAGTTAGTAGATAAGGTCCAAGGGGAAGCAAGACTGAGAGGGGGAAAAAATTGAAAAGCATTAGCAGTTTTTTTAAAGGGGTATTATTAAGGCCCCAAGAGTAAATTATTCCGCTGCATAGGAAACATAGGAAGTCTGGCAAGAGACCGCCTTGGCCTGACTAGATCTTGCATAATCTAAAATTCAGAAAGTGGAAACTAGGCCAAAGTACAAAGGTTGGATGTAAACTAGTAACACAAGTATCTAGGAGCAAAATTAGAAAGCTGAAGGCCACAAAATGAGCTTAGTCTAGCTGGAGACATAAAGGGTGACAAGAAGACATTCTACAAATATATTAGAAGCAAGGGGATGACCAAGGACAGGTTAGGCCCATTGTTCAGCAAAGAGAGAGAAACTGGAAAGGCCCAGTGGGAGGGGAGTGGCACGGGGAGTGCGGAGGACTCTTGACTGAGTCTGGTTTGGGACACTTCCAGATTCCCAGCCCCCGGGCCTGGCTGATGTCCTGGGGATCGTGGCTGGCTGCATCCTCACAGCCCTGGCACTCGGGGCCCTGGTGTGGTGCCTGTGGAAGAGGCCAGGTGAGTGATGCTTCCAGACGCACAGCGCCCCCTAGAGACCAGCCTGGGTCAGCAGTAAGAGGCAGGGGAGAGCGCCCCCTGCTGAGCCCCCCTCTCCCAGCCATGTACCCACCAGCCTGGCCCTGCTTAGCCTGGGGTCCCAGGGGCTGAGCCCTGGCTAGAGAGCACCATGGTGGGAATCTGTCCACAGCTCCAATTCCCAGTCCCCGCATCCAGCACACACTGGCTTCAGGCATAGGAGGGAGCCCAGGGGTCAGAGTCTCCAGATGGGTCAATTTCCGCTTTGCTTTCTCCCGCAGGGGCCTTGAAGCCACTGTACCGCCCAGCACGGACACAGCCAGGGACCCTCGACTCTGCTCTGGCCACAGCTAATTCCTCATCTGCTGGACCTTCTTGATCAGAGGGCACTGAGTGATCAGGCACAAAGATGGCTCTGCAGGTCCACTGCCTTGAGCTGGAGACACATGGATCATCCCTAGCAAAGGGGAGGTGCCGGGGGATTGTGGATAAGGCCAACACCCCCGAGGTTACAAAGTGGGAGGTATCTCTGCTCCACCCCCTTTCTTAGCTTGTTCTGTCCCCAAGTCACCCCATACACTGTTCCTTGTGTCCTCTCTGCTAACCTCTCCCAGGGCCTGTGTACCCAAGGAAGTTTTTTTGAAATAACTAACATTGATTTAAAAACTCCTGAAATAACAAAATCGAAATAGCCTCTCCCCACTACAGCGGAGGCTCAAAATGAGTCCAAGGCAGACTCACGACCTCAGACATGGAGCCCCAGGAAGCCCTGGGGAGTAAATACTTCAGATTACTGTGGGGAGTGGTTATTTCAAAAGAGCATCACCAGAACATCCACATTACCGCTATTTTGAAATGAGCGTTATTCCCCCAGGAAAGGAGGAATACAGATTTCGAAATAACAGGTGTGGTTGTGTGGATGCTCCACATACTATTTTGAAATAAGGGGGGTTATTTGGAAATAACTCCCTTGCGTAGACCAGGCCTAGTTTTCAGTCTCAGGTATATCTCCATATATTATAAAACAATCTCATAGAACTGGAAGGGACCTCAATAGGTCAAGGGACCTCAATAGGTCAAGTCCAGTCCCCTATCCTGATGGCAGGATCAAGTACCATCCCTGACAGATTTGCCCTATATGGCCTTTTTAAGGACTGAACTCACAACACTGGGTTTAACAGACCGATGTTGAAACCACTGAGCTACCCCCCCATCTCCATGGGCCCCCCCAGGCAGCCCCTTAGTCATTCCCCACTTTGGACGTCAGGGGGCTTTTTAGTGCTGACTCATCGACACAATTTTTATCTTCACTAAATTTTTGCTGCCTCCACGTCACTGCCTTGGTTCTCTTGAGTGCTCTCCATGACGTCCTCCACATCGCTCGAGTATGCAGGAGCAGGTGGAGCCTATGGCAATGGGGGGCAATTTGTGGTGGGTCCACAGGCTGGTTGTGGCCTGGCGGGGTTCTACATGCATCCCATGATACATGTTTCTTACCGTCGCCCACGCACGGAGCAGCCAGATTGTGCTGTTTTGCATCCGTATTGCTTTTTCCTACCGGTGTTACTCAAGAGACCCGCACGTAAAGCCAGGGCACATGAGGTGAGGTGCAGGTTGATTGCACACAATACTGATGGGGAGAGCCGGGCTCTCCCTCTGTGTCCAATCCCAGCTCTGCTACGGTTCAAAGTCACTTCCGGAACATTTTAGCCACTCAAAACTGACCAATCCTGGGAGGCCGTCTTCGTTATGCCTTGGTATCCACTGCGACAAAGGAGGGCTACTTGTGAGGCTGACTCACCAGCCTCGGTTGCCCATCCCTTGCCTCAGTTTGTGCCTTTTACCTGTCATGACAGGACATTAACTGTATCTTGTCTGTTTTAAAAAAAAATGTGCAACGTTCCCTAGATACGTAACTGTATCTTGTCTATTTTTAAAAAATTTACAACATTCTCTAGCGACATAAATTTCCCAAGGAGGTCCCCGCAGTGTTATCACCAGCTGCCTGGTCAACCTGTGAGGGGATTTATCGCATTCATAGAATCACAGATGCCTAGAACACTAGAATTGGAAGGGAACTCAAGGGGTCATCGACGCTGGTCCCCTGCCCTTATGGTACAATGAAGCACCATCTAGACCAGCACCCAGACCGGTGAAACTAAGGGTTTCACAAGAAAATTCCACTGCAATAACATTTTATGATTTTTTTTAAATAATAACTAATATGATGTGATTTTTGTTTTTCAGTATGTGCAATTAAACTAAATGTTGATCTCATGACCTTCTTTAGCATTTCTCTGCTCTTCTCCTTACTTATTTGTGATCTACTTTTTCAGCTCCATAGATGTTAGACTGTTATAAGGGGTTCCGCAAAATTCATTCGAGTTTAAAAGGGTTCCGCGGCCAAATAAAATTGGGAAACTCTACTCTAGACCATCCCTGCCAGGTGTCTGTCCAACTTGTTCTTCAATATCTCCAGAGATGGAGATTCCACAACCTCCCTAGGCAATTTATTCCAGTGTTTAACCACCCTGACAGGTAGGAACTTTTTCCTAATGTCCAACCTAAACCTCCCTTGCTGCAGTTTAAGCCCATTGCTACTTGTCCTCTCCTCAGAGGCAAAGGAGAACAATTTTTCTCCCTTGTGACCCCCTTTAAGATACTTGAAAACCGCTTTCATGTCCCTTCTCAGTCTTCTCCTTTCCAAACTCAACAATCCCAGTTCTTTCAGCCTTCCTTCACAGGTCATGTTCTCTAGACCTTTCATCATTCTTGCTGCTTTTCTCTGGAACTTCTCCAATTTCTTCCCATCCTTCTTGAAATGTGGTGCCCAGAACTGGACACAAAACTCCAACTATCAGAGGGGTAACCATATCAGTGTGGATCTGCAAAAATGACAAGGAGTCCTGTGGCACCTTCTAGACTAACAGATTCATTGGAGCACAAGCTTTCGTGGGCAAAGACCCACTTCGTCAGATACTCCAACTGAGGCCTAATCAGCACAGAGCAAAACAGAAGAATGACTTCTCGTGACTTGCTCACAACACTCCTGTTAATGCAGCCCAGAATCATGTTGGCTTTTTTTGTAACAGTGTCACGCTGTCAGCTTGTGGTCCACTCCGACCCCTAGATCCGTTTCTGCAGGACTCCTTCCTAGCCTGTCACTTCCCATTTTGTGTGTGTGAAATGGACTGTTCCATCCTAAGAGAAGTGCATTATTGCACACATAAGCCCAGAATTCAATCGGCTGTATTCCTGACCACTGCACAGACGATATGGTGGCCACCAATAAGGAAGGGTTCCTCCAAAGTCCACGTGCTGACGGAAGTCTGTTTGTGGTTGCTGCAATGGATCATGTGTCAGGGGAAAGTCACAAGTAGTGTGATGCAGGCGGGCACAACGGACCTGCTGTTGGTCCATTTATCTCCTGCTTACTACACTCTCTGTGTGGAACATCTTGTGTGTGTTGGCTCCATGGCTATAGCAACCTCTGACTTTGCCTGGGAGGGTCCTTGGTGCTGACATCTAGCTCTAGAGACTACAACTCCCAGGATACCTTGGGAAAAAGGAGGGACTCTGTTGCTCTCTCCCAGGCAGTGCAGGGAGAGAGATGCTGAGTAGATGGGGGTGTATGTTGGGGGTGGGAGCATGTGCTGCTGACATCTAGCTCTAGAGACTACAACTCCCAGGATACCTTGGGAAAAAGGAGGGACTCTGTTGCTCTCTCCCAGGCAGTGCAGGGAGAGAGATGCTGAGTAGATGGGGGTGTATGTTGGGGGTGGGAGCATGTGCTACCTAATGGCAAACTCCATGTTTATATTCACGGATCTGGCCCCAGGTGGGTTTCAGAGCCAAGGAACACAGCAGCAGGAAAGAGAAAAGGCAACCGATGTGGGTCCTTGTTGGAGCCTCTTTGGGGCTTTCATTAAATTTAATTAAACTGTATTTGTAGTCGTTTTGTCCGTTTGCTTTATACACGTCGGCTGTGTCTAGACTGGCCAGTTTTTCCAGAAAATCAGCCGCTTTTCCGGAAAAACTTGCCAGCTGTCTACACTGGCCGCTTGAATTTCCGCAAAAGCACTGACTTCCTACTGTAAGAAATCAGTGCTTTTTGCGGAAATAGTATGCTGCTCCCATTCGGGCAAAAGTCCCTTTTGCACAAAACGTTTGAGCAAAAGGGCCAGTGTAGACAGCTCAGATTTGTTGTCCGCAAAAAAGCCCCGATGACGAAAATGGCCATCGGGGCTTTTTTGCGCAAAAGCGAGTCTAGATTAGCCATGGACGCTTTTCCGCAAAAAGTGCTTTTGTGGACTGTGATAGGGCGAGCCGCCTCCTCCCCGCGGACACCAGCCCACCCCGCACTGAACCCGCGGTCACCCTGACGCTCCTGGGGACCACCCGGAGAGCGGGGCCAAACTGTAGTGCCTGCTCCACCGCCGCAGCCCCGCTGACGAGCAGCGCGCAGGAGGTATGGCTGGCTGGGGAGTGGGGACGGAGGCAGGGGGCGGAGCAAGCCGGCGCGGTGCTTGACGTCATCAAGGCCAGACGCCGTTGTGGGTTTTTTGAAAGGCCCCGGGGAGTCGGGGACGGGAGGGAGATGAGAACGGAGCGAAGCGGAGGGGAGAGGGAGAGAGAAAGGAGAGGAACGAGGAACGAGAGAAGCAGGGTGAAGGGAAATAGGAACAACATTAGTAGGGGGGGTGGAGGCAGCACGGATAGGTGGGAACCACGGAGGGACTAGATAGGGGGTAGGAAGCAGCCCAGGGCGTGCGAGACCCGGCGAGCTGGTGCGTTTCGAGCAGGTGCCTCACCAGCAGGACAGGTCTCCGTGCACCTGTCCTTAGGGCCCTGGGTTGGGGTCCGGGAGAGAGGGTGGGCCCGGACCCCCCTACCCCACCTCGGGGAACTACAAACCAGGGAATAACCGAAGGACCAGAGACAACAGGGAGAGGGACGGGTCTCCCCTTTTACACGTACAAGCATCCGTGCCAATCTAGATGCTTTGTTCCGAAAATGCTTTTAACGGAAAACTTTTCCATTAAAAGCATTTCCGGAAAATCATGCCAGTCTAGACGTAGCCGTCATGCGAATGCACCTTCCTTCCTTGGGCAACTGGCCTGTACAATCAGACACCTCAATGTAAGCTGAGTCTGTCTCCGTTTTCCTCTGACATCTAGTGGTTGAGTGGGGGACGTGCCGTGCAGAAGCTAGCCTCATTTGCATGAACATGCCCACTGTGCCTAGGAACTCAAAGGGATGGGCTTTTGGCTAGGCTGGGTCACAAATCTCTTTGTTCTTGGGGGAGGGAAGGTTAGCAGGGTGATATCCTTATGGTATAAATCAAGGGGAATGGAACCCCGATAATCACCACAACCAAATAATTATGTGTTGTACAAAGTTTACCTTAACAAGAAGTGCGGTGACATTTAAAGATTAAGAAAGTCATTAGGGCATAAGCTTTAATGAGACACACCCCACTTCTTCAGCTGTGACTTTTAAAGCTTTCCAATATTAACACGGCCCTACGCTTCCAGCTGGCTTCCTTTGTAGCTCTAATAAAACTGAAAACTGCTGCTCCCACATGACTGAAAGATATTTGAGGATCAGAAAGCTCTTGTCACATGGTTGAAAGATATCTGAGAATGAGGAAGCTCTGAGTGCCCAGAATGAGCAAAAACAGAAACAAAACGTTCTTGTTCACATGGTGAAAGCTGCCTTCTACACACAAAGCATGAAAGTTGTGTGCATGAAGGTAGGGGGCTTTCAGACTTTGGGTGTGTTGTAAGCAAAACTCGTGAAGTCATTCTGCCGCTCTACTCTGCACTAGTTAGGCCTCAGCTGGAGTACTGTGTCCAGTTCTGGGCGCCACATTTCAAGAAAGATGTGGAGAAATTGGAAAGGGTACAGAGAAGAGCGACAAGAATGATTAAAGGTCTAGAGAACATGACCTATGAAGCCAGGCTTCATGAACTGGGCTTGTTTAGTTTGGAAAAAAGAAGATGAAGGGGGGACATGATAGCGGTTTTCAAATATCTAAAAGGGTGTCACAAGGAGGAAGGAGAAAATTTGTTCCTCTTGGTTTCTGAGGACAGGACAAGGAGTAATGGGCTTAAAGTGCAGCAGGGGAGGTTTAGATTGGACATTAGGAAAAAATTCCTAACTGTCAGGGTGGTCAAATATTGGAATAAATTGCCAAGGGAGGTGGTGGAATCTCCCTCTCTGGAGATATTTAAGAACAGGTTAGATAGACATCTGTCAGGGATGGTGTAGACAGAGCTTGGTCCTGCCTTGAGGGCGGGGGGCTGGACTCGATGACCTCTTGAGGTCCCTTCCAGTCCTATTATTCTATGATTCTATGAAATGTCCCAGGTTTTTCTGAAGAGGGGCAGAAATTCTATTGCTAGGGATGAAGGTGGCCAAGGTGGTATTTGCAAAATAGGGAACAGTTTTCTTAGCACCCCGTCCTCATGGTATTATCATTATTTACTATATCTTTTAGAGAGTTTGTGTGTCTGTCTTTCTGTCTGTGTGTCCGTCCATTTGTCTGTGAGTCTCTTTATTGAAGAACTTCTCCTAAACGGGAAGAGCCCAAGCCATGAAATTCAGGATGCAGCTTCCTCTTATGGTAACTGAAAGCAAGATCACGGTTTGGTTGAGCCAGGACATGGGATGTGGCTGGAATGGGATTGGTTTACATTAGGTTCATAGTGGACCACAAGTTGAATATGAGTCAACAGTGTGATGCTGTTGCAAAAAAAGCAAATATGATTTTAGGTTGTATCAACAGGTGTGTTGTAAGCAAAACTCGTGAAGTCATTCTGCCGCTCTATTCTGCACTAGTTAGGCCTCAGCTGGAGTACTGTGTCCAGTTCTGGGCGCCACATTTCAAGAAAGATGTGGAGAAATTGGAAAGGGTACAGAGAAGAGTGACAAGAATGATTAAAGGTCTAGAGAGCATGACCTATGAAGCCAGGCTTCATGAACTGGGCTTGTTTAGTTTGGAAAAAAGAAGATTAAGGGGGGACATGATAGTGGTTTTCAAATATCTAAAAGGGTGTCACAAGGAGGAAGGTGAAAATTTGTTCCTCTTGGTTTCTGAGGACAGGACATGGAGTAATGGGCTTAAAGTGCAGCAGGGGAGGTTTAGATTGGACATTAGGAAAAAATTCCTAACTGTCAGGGTGGTCAAATATTGGAATAAATTGCCAAGGGAGGTGGTGGAATCTCCCTCTCTGGAGATATTTAAGAACAGGTTAGATAGACATCTGTCAGGGATGGTGTAGACAGAGCTTGGTCCTGCCTTGAGGGCGGGGGGCTGGACTCGATGACCTCTTGAGGTCCCTTCCAGTCCTATTATTCTATGATTCTATGAAATGTCCCAGGTTTTTCTGAAGAGGGGCAGAAATTCTATTGCTAGGGATGAAGGTGGCCAAGGTGGTATTTGCAAAATAGGGAACAGTTTTCTTAGCACCCCGTCCTCATGGTATTATCATTATTTACTATATCTTTTAGAGAGTTTGTGTGTCTGTCTTTCTGTCTGTGTGTCCGTCCATTTGTCTGTGAGTCTCTTTATTGAAGAACTTCTCCTAAACGGGAAGAGCCCAAGCCATGAAATTCAGGATGCAGCTTCCTCTTATGGTAACTGAAAGCAAGATCACGGTTTGGTTGAGCCAGGACATGGGATGTGGCTGGAATGGGATTGGTTTACATTAGGTGAAAAGGGAGGGGTGTGATAGAAGGGACAGTTATACACAGGAATGATAATAGGGGTGCAGCAAGCAAAAGGGAGCAATTGTTGGCCGGCAGCACAGCCCCCAGCATGCCAGGCTAGCCCTGGCACCAGGCAACACCAGGTAAAGCTTCTAGTTATCAAGAATAACAACCACACTAACAGGTTTCACCTACATTCCCTAGGGGTGTTTTTTGCTGCTTGGTGTCATCTGCACCGAAGGCCCAGGATTTGGAGGGGAGCGGAAAGATGCACCCTGGAGTACCAGCCCAGTGGGTACCAGCCCAGTGCTGACTGAGTGCGGGATGGGCCATTTCCAATTGAACTCAAGAGCTGTCCCTTGTAACGGCGGCCTGCTGGCCCCCTCGGGAGCTGCACAGACAGACGCCCTGAGCTGCTGGAAAAGCGTCAGTGGAGCGTTTACTGCGGCAATGATTTTCCAGCCACCCCCACAAAGCCCCGTGTTCCCGGCAAGGCACGGCCGACGCTCACAGCTGTGGGTTGCTGCAGCTGGGGGCTGTTCTCGGGCAGTCACAGAAACCTCCCCAGAAAATAAACTCCGGTTGGGCCGGCGACAACTTGTAGACAGCAACTGGAGTTGGAAAGGGTTAATTGTGCGAGTGGGGAGCCAGGCTTCTTGTGAGCCAGTGAGCGAGGCGGGGGAGGGGGGGCTGATTTCAGTTCTTGATGTTGCCTCCGCTTGTGGGCGTGGGTTTCCTCTCCTGTGTTTGCTGCCACAGAGACAGAGAGCCTAGCACATGGTGGGCAGCCATTGTATTTCCTGTTGGCTGGGTCCTGAAATCAGCCGCGCCCCCATAAAGCTGCTTTCCTGACCCCTCCAGGGGCATGGCCCCTTGGGTCAGGCGTCTCTCCGTGTCTTTCTGGCTCCTGAATTTCAGCTTCGTCACCTCGGCGGGTAAGTGGTCCTTGTGCTGCCGGATGCCTGGGGCCCATCCCCCATCCCAGCCCCTTGCTTCCAGGGCTGGGTTCAGGAGGGTCCCTTGGGATACAAAATCTTGGGGTGCCTTTTCCATCCCAGTCTCTCTCCTTCCTGCAGGGCTGCATCGTCTCTCCTTTCTCCAGCTCGTCACCTCGCAGGCGGCCCCCGGTCTTCCCAGGCGGCTGAGTGTGGAGAGGGTGAACGACCTGGTGCTCTCCGTCTATGACAGTGAGACCCGCCAGCTGCTTCCTCGCAATGGTTACAAGCAAGACAGGCAGGACTTTTGGAGCCGGTGCCAGGAGTGGGACAACTGGGTGCAGACCACATACCAGGTCCTGACACAGGAGGTGAACACCAGCACCCCACAGTCCGGTGAGTCCCTTGGACCAGCACCAAGCTCAGGAAGGGGGTAGTTGGGCAGCTGAAAGGGAGCTGGGAGAATGGGCACCTAGCTGTTTGAAAGGGGGCAAAGGTGGAGGAAGGTGCTGGGATGCAGGAGTCTTAGGCTCTGTCCCTGGGTCTAATGGGTGATGTGACCTCATCTCTGGGGCATCTCTGGAGGATACCGGGGGGTCTGGCCCAGCAGGGCAGGTGATGGGGTACCCCAGGGGGGCAGTAGGTGGGATGTCAGTGACCCGTTGTTACACCGTCTTCCTGAAACATGGAGTTGACGTAATCGTCTTCAACTGTATTGAAAATGGCCTGAAGTCTTGGAAAATCACCTCCAAAATGAAAACGTTTACCTTCAATAGGAGCCTTTTACTCTGTTTGATGCTGTGAGGACTGGCCAGATGTTTTAATAGACACCAGTGCTGTCAAATACATGCTAGGGGTCTTGGATGGTTTCTGTTGACAGATGCTGGGGGCTTCTGTTGGAAGTAGTACAGTGGGATGACATCACCATCAACAATAAAAATATAGCAGCTGATTTTAAAATAGACACCAGTTGAAATCTTTCTTCAGGCTAGAGGTTATCGAGTGAGCAATTTGTGCAGTAAAGTATGTAGCATAAATGAGAAGAAGGAGCCGCAACTAGTTGCTATCAGCACACAAGACATAAGGCTGGATGGACCTTTGGTCTGACCCAGTCTAGCCGCTCTCATGTTCTTAGGTTCAGTCTGACGGAGAAGGTGCTTTCCAGGAGCAATAGCTATTACAAAAGAAATCACAAATGGTTTGAAAATGGAGCTAGTTATTCAAAGCGAGGAAGGCCCGCCGGGGAAAGAAAGGGTTTCAATATGAAGCTGAGGATGAAATTTTGGAGATCCAAAATAATCAAAACCATGCTCAGAGTTGGTCTCCGTGGCAAGTGACACTCGGTGGGTCTGGCCAGCTGGACTCTTCAAAAAGAACAAGGGTCCCGTAGCACGTTACAGACAACCACAAACATTTATAGCATCATAAGCTTTCATGGGCACAACCCCCTCCTTTAGATCAACTCAACTAAGTTTGACTTAAACTACCGGCCTCACAATCTCTGTGACTGGGCCTGATTTTAAGGGGGTCTCTGTGATACAACCCACCACAGCTGGAGCAAAGGAGGCTGGGAGCTAGGACTCCTCAATTCTATTCCCAATTTAAGGAAGAAGGGAGGTTCTGGGTGTGTGTTTGGGGGCAGGGAGCAGAGTGTAGAATTTGTGCGTACAGTACATGGAAGAACTTCCCCCTCCCCGATATCCAGCTGCTGCAAACTGAGGTCCAGCATCTGTTCTGTCCCCAGAGCCCTTCTACATGCAGATCTTGAAGAACTGTGAGCTGGATGATGCCACCGGCGCGGTCCAAATCGTGACCAGATATTCCCTCAACGGGGAGGACGTGCTGCGGTACCAGTCAGACCAGAACCACTGGTTCTCGGTGCACCCAGTGGCCCGGTCCCTGGCTGAGCACTGGAACCGCACCAGGGAGACTTTTGCAGGGCTCACCCCTCAGCGATGCAAGTTCTTGATCGAGGAGAGTAGGGAGTTCATCACTGGGAAGACAGGTGAGTGCTCTGCTGATGCTCCTCAGTCCCAACACACTGCCCTTGCTCTCCCAGACCCAGTGATACGTAACCCTCTCTCCCCCACAGCCCAGCCCAAAGTCCGTGTGATCCCTGTCCCAGCAGCCCTGGACCAGCCACACCGCCTCATCTGCCATGTGACGGACTTTTACCCCCGTAACATTGAGGTGACCTTAGAGCGGGGGGAGCAGCTGAGCAGCGGGATCCGGCCCAACGGGGACTCCACCTTCCAGATCCAGGTGTCCATCAAGCTGGGGCAGGAGCGGGCCGGCCCCACAGAGCACGTGTGTGTGGTGAGACACAGCAGCCTGGGGAACACCACCCTGAGAGTGACCTGGGGTGAGTACTGGGGGGCAGGGCATGGGGAGAGGCTGGCTACTGAGGGAAAGGTCATGGCAGAGATTGGCCCATGGGGTGGGGGGATAAAGGGGAGGTGGGAAAAGCAGAGAGGGCATTTTGGGTGCACCGGGGATGAGTGGCCAGAGAGAGGCCTACAGGGGAGTGGGCAGACGTTTTGGGGGGCTCAGAGGAAAGGGAAGCAGAGGGAGGTACTGTGGGCTCACACACCAGAAGTGAGAGGCAGAGAAGAGACGAGACGAGACATGGGAGGGAGCATGGGCCATAAGAGCAGAGACAAAGGGGGACAAGGCAGAACTGGGAGGCAAAATCCAATCAGTATCTTAGAGGTCTGTGTACAAATGCGAGGAGTGTGGGGAATGGGCAGGAAGAACTTGAAGAGCTAATAAATGAACACAACTGAACCCAATAAATGAACCCAATAAATGAACCCAAACTAGATAATTTCAGGGAGGTTAGGTCTATAAAAGGCTATTAGCCAGGGGATAGAAATGGTGTCCTTGGCCTCTGTTTGTCAGAGGCTGGAGAGGGATGGCAGGAGACAAATCGCTTGATCATTGTCTTCAGTCCACCCTCTCTGGCCACCTGGTGCTGGCCACTGTCAGCAGACAGGATACTGGGCTAGAAGGACCTTTGGTCTGACCCAGTACAGCCGTTCTTATGTTCTTAACTGCGCCATGGCTGGTATCACAGAGACCTGGCCGGGTGATACACACAACTGGAATATTGGTTAGAAGAGTCCAGCTTGTTCCAGGAGGACATGTGGGGAAAGCAGGGAGGAGGTGTTGCCTTGCATGTTACAAATGTTTCTACTTGGACTGATGAGGAAATGAATGTCGGAGACAGACGTGTTGAGAGTCTCTGGGTGAGGTTAAAAGGGGTGAAAAACAAGGGCGATGTCATGGTAGGTGTTTACCACAAACCACCTACCCTGACAGAAGAGGTGGATGCAGTTTTTTTGAAATAACACAATCATCAAAGCGCAGGATTTGGTGGTGATGGGGGACTTGAACTACACAGACATCGGTTGGGAAACTAACACATCAGGAGACAGATTATCCAGTAACTTCTTGGACTACATTGGTGACATTTTCTTTATTTCAGAACTGGAAAAAATATACAGTGGGGGAAGCTGTTCTGGATTTGATTTTAAGAAATAAGGAGGAACTAAGGGTGTGTCTAGACTACAGGGTTTTGTTGACAAAAGTGGACTTTTGTCGACAAAACTATACCTGCGTCCACACTGCCTTTGAGATATGTCGACATAACGTCGACAAAACTCAGCAGTTTTGTCGACGTATGTAAACCTCATTCTACGAGGAATAACGCCTTTTGTTGACAGAGTTCTGTCGATAGAAGGCATTATTGCATCTACACTGTCCTTTGCGTCCACACTGTTATGTCAACAAAGCGACTTGCTTTGTCGACAGAACTGGATGCAGTCTAGATGCTCTTTGTCGACAGCAGCTTTGTTGACAGTATCTGTTGACAAAACTTCTGTCGACAAAACCCTGTAGTCTAGATGTACCCTAGTTGAGAATTTGAAAGGCAGCTTTGGTGAAAGTGACCATGAAAGAATAGTTAGTGATTCTAAGGTACGGTAGAAAGGAGAACAGCAAAATAGAGACAATGGATTTCAGGAAGGCAGATTTTAGTCAACATAGGGTACGTCTAAACTACATGCCTCCGTCGACGGAGGCATGTAGATTAGACAGATCGGCAGAGGGAAATGAAGCCGCGATTAAAATAATCGCGGCTTCATTTCCCTCTGCCGATCTGTCTAATCTACATGCCTCCGTCGACGGAGGCATGTAGATTAGACAGATCGGCAGAGGGAAATGAAGCCGCGATTAAAATAATCGCGGCTTCATTTCCCTCTGCCGATCTGTCTAATCTACATGCCTCCGTCGACGGAGGCATGTAGATTAGACAGATCGGCAGAGGGAAATGAAGCCGCGATTAAAATAATCGCGGCTTCATTTCCCTCTGCCGATCTGTCTAATCTACATGCCTCCGTCGACGGAGGCATGTAGATTAGACAGATCGGCAGAGGGAAATGAAGCCGCGATTAAAATAATCGCGGCTTCATTTCCCTCTGCCGATCTGTCTAATCTACATGCCTCCGTCGACGGAGGCATGTAGATTAGACAGATCGGCAGAGGGAAATGAAGCCGCGATTATTTAATTTGAAATAAAGCACTATTTCGAGATATCCCTTATTCGTCATGCAATGAGGTTTACATATCGGTTATTTAGCATATCGGTTATTTCAAAATTTATTTCGAAATATCGGACACATTCCTTGGACGCGGAGTAGCTTGTGGAAGAAAACATTCCCTTATTCCCTTTTTTCCTGCCTCCACAAGCTATTTTGGGATACCTCTGGGATCCGGAAATAGGCTTGCAATGTAGATGTACCCTTAGAGAAGTTAGATGTCTGCAAGTCACCAGATTAGAAAGGCAAAGGCACAGAATGAGCTCAGACTAGCTACGGGAATAAAGGGAAACAAGAAGACTTTTTATAAATACATTAGAAGCAAGAGGAAGACCAAGGAGAGGGTAGGCCCACTGGTCAGTGTGGAGGGAGAAACAGTAACAGGAAACTTGAAAATGGTGGAGATGCTTAATTACTTCTTTGTTTCGGTCTTCACCGAGAAGTCTGAAGGAACACCTAACATAGTGAATGTTAGTGGGAAGGGGGTAGTTTTAGAAGGTAAAATAAAAAAAGAACAAGTCAAAAATCACCTAGAAAAGTTAGATGCCTGTAAGTCACCAGGGCCTGATGAAATGCATCCGAGAATACTCAAGGAGCTGATAGAGGAGGAATCTGAGCCTTTAGCTATCATCTTTGGAAAATCATGGAAGTCAGGAGAGATTCCAGAAGACTGGAAAAGGGCAAATCTAGGGCCCATGTTTAAAAAAGGAAATTAGAACAACCCAGGAAACTACAGACCAGTCAGTTGAACTTCTGTGGCAGGAAAGATAATGGAGCAAGTAATTAAGGAATCCATCTGCAAACACCTGGAAGATGCTAAAGTGACAGGTAACAGCCAGTATGGAGCAAGTCATGTCAAACCAATCTGATTGTTTTCTTTATTAGGTTAACAAATCTTGTGGATAAGGGAGAAGCGGTGGATGTAGGATTCCTAGACCTCATAAGGGATTTTATATGGTCTTGTATCACCGTCTTATACAGGCGGTCCCCGGGTTACGTACAAGGGTACGTCTAGACGACAGGCTTTTATCGACAGAAGTTTTGTCCACAGATACTGTCGACAAAGCTTCTGTCGACAAAGAGCGTCTAGACTACATCCAGTTCTGTCGACAAAGCAAGCTGCTTTGTTGACAAAACCCTGTAGTCTAGACACAACCCTAGATGCAATAACACCTTCTGTCAACAGAACTCTGTCGACAAAAGGTGTTATGCCTCGTAAAATGAGGTTTACCAGCGTCGACAAAACTGCTGAATTCTGTCGACGTTATGTCGACAGAACTCAGCGGTAGTGTAGACGCAGGTATAGTTTTGTCGACAAAAGTCCACTTTTGTCGCCAA